TTTGTGGTAGACCTGTTTATCCTGATGTTCTTCTTTTTGGAAATCTGTTTGAGGTCAATTGTTAAGGCATTGAATTTGGGACCGAAAAAAAAAGTTCTTTGTGTTAATGTTTTTTAATATATTTGCTTCCTGATATAACTTATCGGTGAAAAAACGTTTTTTTTTCTGGATGATTTTCAATAGTGTGTTTTGTGTTGTTTGTATAGCGTTCAGTGTGTTGTTGAAAGCTCCACCCCATATTGTGATGCAGTAAGACAGAATTGATTCGGCTGGAGAGTTGTAAAGCATCATGAGGTTCTTTCTGAAGGTGTCTCTTAGAAAATAAAAACCGAGATGAGTGTTCTAAGGCGTTTGTTTACATGGATGATATGATCAGACAATCGTATGTGTTGGTCTAGGAGTACCCCTAAATATTCAATTGATGGCCCTTTTGTAATAGTAGAACACCCACATACATTTTTGTGACAATTTATAGAGTGTAGTTTCAGAGAAAAATTATGTGGTTAACTAAAGACTGTTGGTGTAAAGGCAAAACATATTTAGTCTCATCAATATTCAGAGTAAGCTTACAATACAGTAACTATGGTCTTTTTTGATGAGTTTTCGCCTTTGGAAAGTGCCTGGGTGGTTCAGCGGTGTCCAACTACTGGCCTGAACGCCTTCTATTGCCGTAAACTTTCCATTTTTCATCACTCGTGATGATCCGATCCAAAATAGGATCGTTTTAGTTACGCAAAAGCAAAGAAGAACAGACCTCGAAACGTGACAATCTATGTCTATCGTTCAAATTGTTGTAAATGGAATGGATTCTTATTACCTAATCGTTTCAAAAATAGATTTTGACTTTTCTCGTAATGACTTTTTATTAATATTTTAACAACTGAACTCAATTGGATACAATAGTTACAAAACAAATCAGAAAACAAAATTATTCTTATAGGGAGAGAAAATATTAACATTAAAATAATATCATGAACAATTCCAACACAAATCTTGAACCTGAACTTTTTGACCTTTGCAATACGTTTTGAATGATTAAAAACCGAATGGGAGCTAACGCTCAGTTCTTCCGCCATTTCACGCACCTTTTGTCCCGGAATACAAATGGAATGTATTCCATTTGTATTTGTGTGATGTCGTCAGCAAAGTAATATATTGGATTCTTGTTTTTTTCCAATGAGTCGAGTCGTTGATATACAATAGAAATAGGGTTGAAGACAATATAAATCCCTAGGGAACACCAGCGTCCATAGTAAAAGTATTCGAGAGATATCCGTCGACGGCTACTTGCAAGGAACGTTCTTTCAGGAAGCTGAAGAGCCATACACAAAAATGATCTGACAAGCCATAGCTTCGAAGTTTGGCCAACAAATCCTCATGCCACACACGGTCAAAGGCCTTAGAAATATCAAGCGCTACAGCTCTTGAGTCTCCATGTTCCTCGATTGCGTTATTCCAAATATGGGTGACATATGATACAAGGTCGCCTGTTGTTCTTTCCGAAGGCCATATTGATGATCGCTCAAGAAGTTGGAGCTTTCCAAATAATTAAGGGTATGGTGGTTTGCGGTTTTCTCCATGATTTTCGATACCACTGATAGCAAATCGTCTATGATCTATAGCAATCTTCCAACAAGAAGAAAAAACCCCTTTCTTGTAAGACGGTTTGAAAAGTCTGCAAAATACTGGTGCGCATTTTTTAAGTACGATGACGGGCACTATATCAGGGCCAGACGCCTTGTTGATATTGAGCTCTTTCAGAATTCACCTGACTAGACGTTGTCAAAAAGTAATTTCCGGCATTGTGGATCCTAGTGTGGTAACTTTTCCAGAGAATCAACTGTGGAGTAAGACGCAAATTGTTCGGCTAGTATATTTTCTTTTTATATGGCTGTTGTTGCAATTGAACCATCCGCTTGTGTTAGTGGTGGAATTGTGGATTTTGTAAAGTTTTCATTAACAGCTTAAGCTACCAACTAGAAGGATCTACACACATTGGGATTGGCAAGCAATTCATCCTTAATTCTCTGATCGCGAAGTTCTTTGCTTTTATGTTTCCTAAATTTGCAGCTGTAGCGAGCATTAACAAACCCAGTTCGAGTTTTTATTTTATTTATTTTTCATGGGGGCTAAACTCTAGCTTATTGATTGTATATTCCAAAGAAGTAATAAAGTTTCTTTGAAAGACATTATTTTTTATGGAGGAGCTAATGTTCCTTGATATTTTTAGCTTTATATCAATCCTTAATTGAAAAAGGTAAGTATTGAAAATCTTCTTTCAATCATTCAGTTCATTTCAGAAAAATATATAAATACAAGTTACTGACTTGTATTTTATATTACTCAGTTACTTTTCGTGAAACAAAAAAGTATGAAAGTTTCACCCCTAAGTTAAAATTCCATTTATCAGACAATTACAAAGGACTGGTACACACCTATACTGAATGGCACCACTCTGTAGTCCGGTATCTCGCAGGAGATTCCGGCAAAGGAGGTGGCACATTAACCATGACTCAATACTATGTTGTAAATATCAAAAGATGCGCGACTATAAAGAAGATGGTTCTCTCACCAACTTACCAGTTTTCCTGCTAGGTGCTCAGTGATTAAATCGATACGAAGTGAACACTTTAAGAAAAAGTAAGTAAATTTTTGAAAGGATATGGGAGTGTCACGCGTCAACGATCAAAATTATTCGTGACCTTTGAGGACTGTTAATTGTGCGCAATTTTGTGGTGCCATTTCAAGGATACGCAGGAATAAGGAGATTTCTCGAAGGATATCCTGGGTTTGTTTTGTGATTATTTTATTTTCCAACAATGCAGATTAAGATTTGTTCCATTGCACTGATGAGAACCGCAAACTAATTCATAGTTTTGTCACAACTAACTATAGAAGTTTAAAAATCTGATTAGGCATGCATTTCACGGTCTCGTGTAATGTTATAACATGTGTTTAACAGCACTCAAATTTTCAACTGAATAATAAACGTCATTCGTAGAAAAATCGTTCATCTGTAATTTTTTATTTGGCAGTTGTCTGTGAGAATACGACCTCTCAATTAGTTGCGGATTGTTGGAAAGTAAAATTATCACGTAACAATCGCCTTTACATGCATTTACGATCTGCAAATGAATATGAATACCAGCAATTAGTTCTAGTTCAGGCAATCATATAATTGTTTTGAACTTATACGTGAATACTAGAAAGAACAAAAGACAAATGAATTACAGAAAAAAATTCCTTCAGCTGATTCAATCAATCATCATAAATTCTGGAGTATAATTCAAATGAATAAAATAAAATCCCACTATTTTTTAAAACGAGAATTTTTTCATAGAATAATCTATCGAGTTGAATTTCAATATTTGTTGAATATCATTTTATCTTGTATTGGTTTTTGAAAAATACATTGAATTTATTGAATCAATAAAATTCAGGATATAACAGAATAGTAACTTGGAATATTATTCGTGCTAGGAATCGTACGTTATAAGGTGAGACCTCGTTGATCCTTAGCTCGTACAAGTTTCGACTTTTGGGTGTTGCGACAGCTGGTTAACGAAAAGTTGAAATATTTCAAATTCATTTTTTTTAAATTAGCATAATTGTTACATACAATTATGTTATATTGGAATAACGTATTCTGTACTAATATTCAACTAAGATCGATAGTATTTGAAACAAATAAGCAATGTAATGATATTCAAAGTTAAAAACCCATAAAAAACATTATTAATCAGTGAATGCGTGTCTCTTGTTCTTTTGAAAGGAAATGTANTTCTGGGGCGTATTCCCTAGGGGACGTAATTACGGTAGTGAGTGTGAAAGAGACGTGTGCGACGTGATCGACGCATAGAAGGATGGAATGAGCATCGAGTAGATTCATTTGATAGATAAGGGCGCGGTGGAATTACAAAAATAACGGTATAATAAACTACCTCCACGAATGCCCCACCAGCTTTTCCACAGTGGATACGGGAGTGGGTATAAAGAAAGAAGAAAAGAGTAAATTAATTTGCGAATATTTTATTGATGATTGTTATGGAAAAGAAAGCGTCGTTCAAAAATAAAGAAAGACAATAATTTTTTTTAACAATAATGGAAGGTAAAGAAAAATTGTAGCGAAGATTGTCAGTTCTAACTTCCGTGACCAATCTACAAAATTTGATTTATTCACAAGGAAAAATAAATGATATTAAAATGAAGGATTTTGTCACAATGATTTCTTCGTTGTCTAATTCAACTGATGAATTGTCTACCCTCTAGTATGCATACCGTCGGGTCACAGTTGCTCAAAGGTAGCCAGGTTTTTAAAATTTCAACACCATACACTAAACTAATATAATTGATACTAAGTAAAAGTAGATACTTTTCAGCTAGATGAAGTGGGTTACGCAGTAACGCTGACAGTTTTGGTAGTGTTACTTCTGTGATGCCAATACGTCCCGTTCAGACCAAAATGAACAATAAAATGAAACAATATTACCTTCTGAGACATGAGGCTTACGATCATCCGCTTTTATGTCGCTACCAACAGTGGTGAGTCATCTAGGAGTCCAAGAAGTACAGATTCGTCAACCGCTATTCTCAAAGTTGGGGAGATTTTGAGGGCGTTATCAGTTAGCAACGAACAGGCAAATGGAAAATGAAGGCCTGAGATGGAGTGTGGCCTTTTGAGTTTCGAGTAATTCCTACATAAATCCTACGACAATAGATAATTGATTATCTCCCTTGAGATAAATCAATTGTCGATTCAGGAATACTTTGAAACCTTCTTTCAAATCCTCAAAATTGCAATGTTTTTCCCGTGTCTGGTTCAAAACCAAGAAAAGAAGGAAGAGACTTTTCTTTCTGAAGTTTCCAAATGTCGAAATGACATGAACTGTCATGAAAGACAGATGAATTATTTGTAGAAAAAAACGATATCTCATAAATAAACTTTGTGAATCTGCCGATTCCAGCAAAGATACAAAGACTTGTTTCATATTCCTGGCATATTCAGGGTCATAATAAATCGTAATCAAAATGAAATATTTTTGTTATACAGAGTGTAACTGAATAAGTGTAAAAAATTTAAGGAGGTGATTCCTCATCGAAAAAAAGATAGGATCTTCCATATAAAGAAACTTCATTGGAGCATACCTTGTTAAGATACAGCCCCTTAAAGGGGGTACATCAAATTTGTATAACAATTTTTTTCAAAAGCACTGAAAAAGTTACCATATTGAAATTAATACGTAGTACACATTCCAAGTAGAAGAGTTTGTGTACATTTTCTCAGAAAAAGTAATCATCTGTGGGAAAACTAACCATTTGAAAACATTCCAGAATATATGTGCTCTAGTGATTTCAGAATGTAATCGAAAAGTAGAACCAGAAAAGTTTTATTTGAATTGAAAGGAATATATTTTTAGGAGAAAATAATTTTTGGAAAGGAAGGCAATGGCTTTCTATTTCTCCATCATTTTTCAAAAAAGTGGTAATCTTCCAAAGGTAGGAAAAAAGCAATCAATTTTGAAATGAACTATTTACAAAGATGTGAATATCATGCAAAGAAGTAACTTTAAGACATAAACTGAAAGAAAAAACCCTTTCGAAACAACTACTTCCATATTGAATTGAATTAATTAATTCAGTGCTTCATCTTGTAATGTTATTCAGCACCAAGAAGTGGCAATAAGACACGTGTCTTATTCCGAAACATCGGATATCAGCCATTGAATGACAGTGTTCCATGTAAGTGAAATTTTTACTTTTGTCATATATTATATTGTGTAGCAATCCTGATATTAATGAAATATGAGTCAATTCCATAATGAATTTTTGGAGTATAATTTTTGTATAATTCAATGTTTAGACACTCGTGGAAGTAGTTGTTTCATAAGTATTTTCTCTATAATTCTCTGCATGATCTACACACCTTCGTAAAAAGTTCATTCTATAATTGATTGAATTTTTGCTTTCTTTGAAAGTTTTGCCCTTAAAAAAATGGAGAAGTAGCTTGCCTTTCTTTCCCAAATCTTGAAAAAGATTCTCTCACGACACATATTTATATGCATAAATATTTTCCGTCACATAAAATGTAATGAATATTTTGGTAATTATTTCTGAAATTATTATATTATACTTACTATTGAAAAATTTCATTCCAAAACACCTCGAATGTAGTTCATTTGAATATAGACGTAGTCTCTCTTGGAAGTGCAGTTGAGAGCTGAAAGAATTTGATAATAGGTTTGTTTGTATAGACATCTTCATTACAATTTTTTCTGTATGCAAGTAGAAATAATAAAAATTCTTAAATGAATTATATTTACTTTAAATGAGTCATAAAAGTTGAAATAATGAATACCCTAGTTGAAAAAGTGATTATTATAATGTTAAGTGCAGGAAAGTAATAACAAAACGGTAATAATAATAATAATAATAGTCATTCATCTATGTTGCATATAAATTAGAGTTCATATCTTGAAGGTTATGATGAATGAATTGCAAATCCAGTGAGGATATAACCCTGTATGTGGTTAAATTAACAAATACGAAAAATTGAAATGATGTTACATATATGATAATCACATTCACAATTACTCACAAAAAACAATGTGTTGTAATAGTACAAAATCAAAGGTTATAAAATAGTTAAGAAACGAACAGACAAATACAGACAGCTCACAGAAGGTAATATTTGGTTGTGAGGATAACAAATATTAAAGTTTCACACACTATACACATAGGTGTTGATAAACTAAGGAGATACAAATATTGACTAAATTTATAATATTAAATATATAAAATACAATAATACATGTATTGAGTACAAGTCAGAAAGGGTCAAGTTCATATTTCAGTAGTGTGAGGTTCAAATTTTATGATTTACAACTGTTTATCTTTTGTCTTATGTTGTTGAATCAAATTAAATTATGAACACTCTCTTTAGGAAAATTCTTTATAAATCTGACTAGTTTAATTTTGAATTGGTTGATATTAAGTATCTGTTAAATATTCGAAGGTAAGCTGTTGTATAGTTTTGGACCCAAGTATTGATGACATTTCTGGCCCACCGATTTATGCACACGAAGACATGGGAACTGCTTACGATGCCTAGTACTATAGTCATGGTAAGTGTCAGAACAGGTATTATAAACAATAGTTTTTGAAATATTTACAGAAACCTAAATACCTTTTTTACATCTTAATTTGTCCATAACTTTTGCAATTTTCCATTACATAGCGGCGATTTATGCTTGGCAAAATTTCCTTATCGAACATTACTGTTATGCCACTTTGTTTAATTGAACGATATATTATAAACATTATGCCAATAGTTATATTCTTCAAAATATTACGGCGAAACATCGATTTCTACCAGTGAGCATGACTGAGTTCCATGTAAGTGAAATTATTACGTTTCATTAAGTATATTGTGTAGAAATCCTGGGGATGATATCTTATTTAATTCCATATTGAATGTTTCTAATATAAANAGCAAAGTTCTTGGAACCAACAAGGGCTTTTCGAACGTCATCCGGGGTTATCGGGTTGCGCAGTTCATTGAGCTCAGGCTGTCAAAGCTCTCTGTTGAAAGCTTCGAACTACACTAGGGCTGGAGTGACTGAGTTGAGTGGCTGCGAGTGTTC